AGCACGTGGTCAATTAAAAACTTTTTTAGTTGAGTAATGTATAAATATCATAATTATTTTACACAAACCATGCATGCATGCATTTTTTCGAGATTGTATATTGTTTATAAGTTTCCTGAGCGATGATAATTTGTATTACTTTTTATTTTAAGTGCAATGCTATATGTTTTAGCATTGTGTAAAATATTATGCTATATGTTTTTCAAGAATTTAATTTATACTTTATGTTATTAATTATTAATAAATGTTTGAAATTTTTTATCTTGGTTTTGTTCACCCCCCATTTTTCTGAATTTCCCGGGCCGGTCTGATATAGCCAGCACGCCCCTGTATACTATATAATTTCGTGGTATGTACTTTGCTCAAATAAAATCCCATATACCAACGTAACCATGGTAAATTTTATCTTCGCTTACATTCAATTAAAATAATTTATTTTATGTCAACAACTAAATTGGTTTCATGTTCTTATATTTCCTCTTGTGTCATAAAATTTTATGCCGCACACATTTTTACACTAGCTTCGTTATTAATTTTTTACGCAGAAAGGATATTTGAGACGAAAGCAATATTCTTGTTGTTTGTGTACTCACACGCAAAAATGTCTTTTGGCAATCAAGCACAAAAAAAAAGATTAAGAAAGAATACAAGTTTTGTTACAAAACAAACAGTGTTTGTTTTTATCTAGTTATACATTAGTGACATGGAGTTTCATCAAGTAAAGGTCGAAACCAGGGCCGTAGCGACGGACTCAGGGCAGTGGCGGCTCGTGGGTGTACAGGAGGGTGAGGCTACATAAGGTTAATTTTGTCTAAATACGAATAAATTTCCACGTCACCCGGGAGGTATTATTCTGCGACGCGTTGACCTTTTTTAAAATGGAGCCGATAGCCCTACTAAACCAAACAATAAACTCTAAAAAACAAAACAAACAAAATATCACATCAAAGACTAGTTTGAATCTTAAATTTAAAAATATAGTCTTAAAAAAGTTAAAAATAAATAAATTAATCAAAAAATAAAACTAAAAAGTCGACCCCTACCTAAGTATTAAAAAATATAAAATACTATACGTCTATCTTTTAAGATTGCAAATTTATCTATTATTTGGTCGTAAAATTGTGGGTCTGCAGTGAGATTTGAAAGTAATTCTAAATTTTTAAAACGCGTCTCTAGTTGAAGAATTATGCAATCTATTATTTCAAAATATAAAATTTGCTTAATAAAAACTGCTAAATCTACCTTAGTGTGTTCCCTACAATAATTAAATAAGACATTTTACTAATCGAGACAAAAACTATAAAAGATCAGCCAAAAGTTTTAAATAATTTAATCTGAATCAAAACAATAACGTGCTCTACAAACGCTAAGAGAAGACTGGCAACCTTATAGGCAAAAATATAAATACAAAAAGTCGTTCGTTCCTTCATTTTAAGGGTGAGGCGCGGCCTCAGAGGCCTACCCTGACGAGCCGCCACTGACTCAGGGGCCCCGGTGCAAAACTTTTCAGGGGCCCTCGATTTTAAAACTTTATGTTTAAAAGTAGAACTTGCCTTCGCGTTATTATTATAGGGTAATGAAATAACATGAAATATAATGGGTTTTTCATAAAGAGTTTACATTTACATTCACGCTCGTAATTTACATTTCAGAATTATAATACTATATCTTATTACTCTACTATTAAACATATTTCACATATTTTGTGACAGTAGTACATTTATTCTGCAGTTTATTGATTTTTATCGATAGGATAGGATAGGATATCGAAAATTACGATTTTTTAGTAAAACTTTTTAGTTTTGGGGGCCCCTTTGAGGTCGGGGGCCCTGGTGCACCGCACCGCCTGCACCAGCCTCGCTACGGCCCTGGTCGAAACAATAAAATACAAATATATTAATATTCTTTGAGTAAATAAAGTTGCAGTATAACTATAAAACTTTCTTTTTGCAGCTTTAAGTAAGCCATAATAAATTCCAAGTACACAGACAAATACAAAGTTATAAAACTAACTTTAAGTTTACCGTAACCTTATAGAGATTTAATTGGTGCTTACACCAAAGAAAGTTTAAACTTATAAAATAATGTATACAAATAAAACCTTTTTTCTACTACCACCTTTAAAACGCCCACTACCGTACATGTGCCCATGACACTAAGTGACCTTTTTAATACACATGTATAATGTATTAACAAGTTGTGGCTTTATGGAGTTTTCGTCACAGACTGAAGTTAGCAACAGGCTTTTTGTCACAGGCTGACCTTTTATTTTCGCCGAAAGTAAACTAGATTTAACTTAATTTTGAGTGGAGACTCAACCGTGGAGTGCCCATAAAACATTTTCTTTACTTTCACTGCGAAAAACTGATTTTATATCGTATTTAAACGGTCTATTTTCTATGGATACATTTTGACACATAAAAATTTGACATTTAGATACAAAGAATGGTTGCTCTACTATTTTATAGATGTCGCTCTATACAAATGTTTAATTTATATCATTTTTATATAATAGGGTCAGAATTTCTCAAACGGGCCACCTGAATTAGGTCAAAATTAGTTTTTGTTTGTAGATACATTTTTTTGATAGTATTTTACATCACTAACACAAATCCTAAAGGATTTTGTAAAAAAAAAATTTTCAATTGACATATTCATGATATTAAAAGTCAAAGTTTTTAATAATTAAAAAATAAAAAAATTCATTATGGCTGAACTAATTATCCGATTCCAACGATATAACTAGCGTTGGAATCTTGTTTTGACATAGATTCTTTGTTATTTTTTTCAATTGTCCTATTTTCATTTAGGTCGATTTTTTTTTGTTTTTTTTATACCAAATTCGGAAATAATTGCCTTCTGCGCCAGCTATCGACTCGAGAAAAAAAACACATATACTCCAATCATTTCTCGACATTATGCTGCTGAGAAAAAAAATGGCCCGCAGGTTGACAAAAAGTTATTCGTCCTTTTGTGGCCGCGCGCGGTGTCAGCTCACGCTCCGAACCGTGTACGCTGTACGCGCTTGTGACGCGACGTCTTACGGTGGTCTGGAACCTGCGGGCCATTTTTTTTCTCAGCAGCATAATTTCGAAAAATGATTGGAGTATATGTGTTTTTTTTTTCGAGTCGATAGCTGGCGCAGAAGCCAATTATTTCCGAATTTGTTATAAAAAAAACAAAAAAAAATCGACCTAAATGAAAATTGTACAATTGAAAAAAATAACAAAGAATCTATGTCAAAACAAGATTCCAACGCTAGTTAAATCGTTGGAATCGGATAATTAGTTTAGCCATAATGATTTTTTTTATTTTTTAATTACTAAAAACTTTTACTTTTAATATCATGAATATGTCAATTGAAATTTTTTTTTTACAAAATCCTTTAGGATTTGTGTTAGTGATGTAAAATACTATCGAAAAAATGTATCTACAATCAAAAACTAATTTTGACCTAATTCAGGTGGCCCGTTTGATAAATTCTGACCCAATAATAAGTGAATAACGCTTATCGAAAAGGAACCAAGCCCCAAAAACTTTTTCTTTATTTCAATTTAATTTCAATTATTTGTAAAATACTCATATTTAATAATGCTCAAAAGGTTAAAAATTATAATTATCTATAATAATTTGGAACTTTTCTCAAAAGGATTGTAAAGGTTGCCAAATCATTATTAATTTTTTGAGCAGCATTAAAAATGAATTATTTTACAAATAATTTTGTTTACCCCAGAAAAAGTTTTTGGAGCTTGGTTCCTTTTCGATAAACGTTACCCAAGTATTTGTCGTAGAAAAGTATAGTATTTAACTAGTTTATAAGCTTTTCTAGACACTCATTTAATTAAGGACTTGTTCGCTCGTGCCATAATAAAATTCGTGACTAAAATGGCCTTTATTTAACTTGATACATAATATACTATTATCTACTCCCTTATTGACAAACTGTGACTTCATGGTGTTTTAAACACGGCCTGAAGTTAGCAACAGTCTTCTGGCGATTTAGTGTCGGGCTAAATTTAGCTTTATTATAAATTAAAGGTGTTGTATAAAATTGAATTGGATTGAATTTTAAAACTAAATATGCAGTAACTAAATTAAAACATCAAGATTATGCTTTTAATAAAACCAGCTGTTTAAAAATTCTAAGTAAATTATAGTTAATTTAAATTCTTTTTAAAATTCCGACATTTTTTATGCAAATCACAAAATTACTCAGTTGTCTGGAAAATTAAAAATGATTTTTATTATCTTTTATTCCTTTTTAACCTTTATAAATCCCAATCAAAAACAAGTTTGATTAACTTTATGACTGCGTTTTACAGGACAAATTAATTATAATTATTTCTTTATTAAGAACACATTTAAATGTTTGAATTATCATCAACACTAAATAGTGTTGTTTTATAACACTACAATTAGAGTTAATTCGTAGTGTAATTTTCCCCAAGTAAGCAAGTATGATTTAACACTATAGCACTGAGGATAAAGTAATTTTACACTGTATTAAAAAGTGTTAATTTACCTAAAATTATGTACTTCTACACTTCCTGGGTAAAATTCCACTTTTGTTCAGTGTAAATTAACCCTTTAGCAGTTAGTGGCAACCATACAAGCCACTTACAATAAGGTCGTTAAACGAGTAAAAATACGAACGATTTTGACCCATAATAGCTTTTTACACCGTGCGCAAAGCTCACTGGCTTCTACAGATGCCACTTCCCTATTCCCGCCAAATTAAAATATAAGTGGCTTCTATGTGTGCCACTAACCATTGTCTATTTTCCAGAGCAAGTGTAGTACATTTACGTTATATTGTGCTGTGTAAAAGTGTGTTATATTAGAACAATTGTAAGTATTATTTTAATTGCTTTAATAATATAAGATTTAGTTTTTGTTGAATTTTAATAAAACAATATATGCGCTAAGGAAATACAACGATTATTAAAGAGTATTTGTCTCAGTTTTTAAGGTTATTTTTCGTTTTCTCAGAAACGGACTTAATGACATTTAATTTTTTGCAGAAAATTAATTCAAATCGAGACAAAATTAATATTAAGGAACTAGAACGCCTATCTGCTAATAAAGTGTACGACTTTATTGATGGTTTTACTGATGATATGGCTCAACAATCCGACGTTGGGGGGGATAGCGATGCCAAAGACACTGTTTTGGTATCAATACCTGGTAGTCCTGGTACATCTTGTTCCTCTATTATTTTAACACCTGACCCATCTATTTCTTCTACACCTCTTCCAGGCGAAGTGTAAGAAATAAAAAGTTAATATATTTTGAAAACCAATTATCAGATTTTGACTCGGATGACTCAATTGCGGACAAGAACTACGTTCCTGAAAAAAAGACTCAAAAGGGCGGCTATCTTCATATTCCTCCAGCTCAGATGATGCCAATCAGGAAGATTTTGGTTTGCCAGAAGTGGAGGTCTCACGGATGGAAAGCCTATTTTCAGATGAATTTCAAATAGAAGACGTACCCGAAAACGAAGAAGAAGTTCTACCTGACACTAATTTATCTACCGATTTCCCAATGAAATGGACGAAAAACCTAAGATTCCAGGAAAAAATCAAAAACTTCAATCAATTCAATTGATAGAAAAAAAGCTATGTCTCATTTACAATTTAGAACAATACTGGCTAATAAACTGATTGGTGACTTTTTCGGTAGAAAACGTAGAGGTGCACCAACTACTACTAGCAAAAATAAAATGCGTAAAGTTGGGGGACGCTCTATTTCCACCAATAATATGACAAGAAAAACGAATGTTGGGATGCATTTACCAGTAAAGGGGAAATATAGGCGATGCGCACGTTGCACCACCAAAACAAATGTCAAAAGATCAAAAATAACATGTAGTAAGTGGTAAAATGTTTGTGTTTTCTTTACAAAATAAGTGGCTATATGGCTAGCCACCAAACAATAAGGGTTTTTGGTTTATGAAAACGTTTAGTGGCACATATAAAAGCCACCTCAAAAAAAATATTCTAGCGAAAATTTAATCATAATTTATTATTTTTTGTCAATTAATATTCCATTTCGACCAGATTTTATTTTAAAATCCGAGAAAAATAAGAAAAAATAATTTGCCCGTTAAAGGGTTAACACTATTATTTGAGTAAAACCCATTGGTGGCAGTGAATAAAACGAAAAGGTAAATAAAGAGAAACATTTATTTAGGACAAAAATCTATGACAATTATCAAAATCGGTGCCTTTTAAAATATAATTTTATATTTGAGTCGTATGGCTGACTTAAGCAAAATGGTTCATTAAAACGTAAAAGTTTTAGATCAATGCAATGTTTTACTGGCTGTCAACTTGTAAGCAATGAATTATCTTGAGAATTCCTCAGTAATTCAAAATGGGTGATCCCATTGGTAGAGAGGTGTCAGGCGGCTGTATGTCGGGGATTTACCACACGTGTACAAATTTTCCATAATATTAATAAAAATGTAGGTATAGGTTAATATAACAACCATTACGCTTGAAAATAAAAAGTAAATCAAGTGTGTATGTATTTATATTATTAATTTTATAAGTACCCGACCTACTGCCGTAAATTATTAATATATAATATAGGTCGGGTATGGACATCCTTTTAACATATTGGTATTTATTGAGTATTAAGGCTTAAAGAAAAAGGAAGTATAATACTTGCCAAAAAATAAGAATGTCCCCTTATGGATTCCCCGTAATTAAAATCTAACTGAACAAAAATGCCACACTTACACAACGTGGTATCTCCGGATATGCACTGCGTAGGTAGATAGGTACCAACCAAACATTTTAAAACGCAATTTTGGTTATTACCAGTTTTTTCAGTCTATTTTGCCACTATTGGTGTAATTTAACTTTAATTGTGATACAATGTGCACTAGTAGTGTAGAGAAAAAAGAGCTCTTAGTAACATCAAAACAAACAAATAAATTTTCATGCACCGTAGTGTACATTTTGTCACTATTTAACACATTAACACGTTCACTACCGCCGTGTTACAGCTGGTCGCTTGTAATAAACCAACTTCGACATCTTTTGAACCCATAAACTGGCGTAGGAAATAAACCTGAGTCACTGTAAATAAAGCCACAAAAGTGAACCAGAGGCCACTTAACTGGCCGTGCGCGCGTTATAGACCGAAGACAACATAGGTACAAGTCACCACTTGTGACCCAGCTAAATTTATATTGCACCTAAGTAAGATTAAATTTGAGGCCAGTATAGTGTTAAGGGGTAATAAACAATCGCATTAAGTTTTTCTACCCTTTTGATTTATTTTAATGAAAAATAGTGTGAATGTACCAATGAATAATGTTCATATTCTTTAAATGTGTTTAATAAAGTTAATAAGCACTAAATGCTACCTATTGTGTATTTTGTAGTGTAACTTTTACACTTACAAATCAACTCTAATATTTACACTAAAAAATTTACACGGGCAAATTTTTTTACTGTGTATAAGTGCATCTGCCCTGTTAAGTAAAAATGCCTATCTACAATAGATAATTTTTATTGTTAAAAACAATAAAAAGAATAGTTTTTCGTATTCTTAATGAAAAAGAGCATATTTAATTTAAAGAAAATAGCAAAGAAGTTTTATGGTTAGCAATACTTTTCTACTTAGCAACACTTTTATTAAGTACATCTCAATAATCGTAAATACAAGGTTGGAACGTCTGGTGTTAGATTGTCTATCTGGCAGATTTCAGTAGTATACAAGGGGCGACTATAATGATCTATGATGATTTTTATTAAATAATGCTTTTCCATTAAAAATACGAAAATACAGCTTGTTCAAAGCGTGAAAAAAGTCTTTTATCTCGTGGAAATTTTATCCACTAGCTAAACTCAGTAATCAAGATATTTCCACTCAACAGAAAACTATCATATCATTTTATTTACATAGAACAATCTACTATCATTGTTTTGTATAACTTAATATTGTACATAAGATATTTTTGCTTAAAATGGCAGCTGTACTTATTCCCCTTCTATTCTAATGTCCTCAAACTTTTAGAGTTTTATATGACCATAATTATAATTATTATTATTAACTACGCATTAACTACGTACAATATATTTTATTTTATTTATTTTAGGTATGTAAAATGTCATACCTACATTCAAGTTTTATAGAAATTTAATGTCAAATTCCATACTTTCAAGAATTTACGTTCAAAGCTAAATAACCGAACAAAAAAAAAATTGTTGGGCCACCTATATGCATTTAAAACACCGATCCTGTATTGACCTCCAATTAAATTTTAAAAGCAGAGCTGCCTTTAACTTTTGTTTTAAACTCATTATTAGTAAATAAATTTTACCGAAAAGCACTATAATATCGTTATATTATACTAAAACCACTTATGGTCGTTTATTATACTTATTATACTTTTTCCAAAACGTTGAAATGGTCTATCCAGTGGAGTGGTTTAAGAGTTTCTAATCCGACGTACAAGATTTTTGGATTCAACTGTCAAGTTCATTTGTCACCATAAATCACTGTATGTTCATTTCTGGCATACAATATATGTTCATTTTTGCTAGAAACAACAAAAATAATTTGTTGAGTTGAAGAAAATTGTAGATTGCGTTTAGATTTAAAAATACATTTACATACAATATCTTCTCGTAGCTGACCTACTAATATGGGACGGGTTCGTATATTGCATTTTAACTAAAAGTTTGAGAATATCAAGAATTAGGCAGTGCTACTATATAATAATACAGCGACTCCTATCATGCTTATACTAATTTTTGTATCGAAGCAGATTCTGCTTCTGAACTCATTTTAAAATGTAATTTTTTATGTTCGGATACATTTAAAATCCTGATTGTAAATAGTTTTTAAGATAAATTAGTTGTTTATATTGTAATGGTTCAGTACTTTAATACGTTTGACAAATTTATTTTAAAGAAAAATTTGTATTTTCTAAATTGTGGTGTGCCGACGAGCTGAGCCCGCGGTCCATTCCTACCCCTAACCCACTCAAGCCATTCAGTTGGCTTCTGGGACTTTTTAGAAAGTAAGATCAATTTTGTATGTACTTTAAAAGGTCATTTTAACAACTTTAAATTACCTTCAAATCCCAGTCAAAGGGCCGTATGCACAAACGTTGATTTATTTATCAACTGATTTACGCATATCCACTGATTTAAGTTTGAACCAATTTGGTAACATAACAAATTTTAAATGACAGTAAAGATTTGTAGGTTATCTTACCTATACCTAAAAATGTGTTCATAACATTATAAGAGTAATACATTTTTAAAATGTATTATTAAATATACACATAAATACATTACATATACAGGGTGTCCTGAAATTAGTGCACCATACTTTAACAGCAGATTGTACGTGCAAAAATAAGAAAAAAAGTCCCTATAAACATAGGTCAAGAAATGCCTCTCAAGGGAGCTACAGCCCCCAAAAGGAAATCCCCTGAAGATGGTTTTTATTTAATATCTCCAAAACCGTTAAAGATATAAAAGTGAAATTTGGGGAATTAATTAAACTTTTTATGACCAATAAGACGTAACAATAACAATTTAAAAATTTTTATGATGTTTGGGTCAGATTGATAGGAAGTAGGGTTAAAACCACCTTAACTTTTTTGTACGTATCTTGTACCAGAATTTGGTGCCAGATTATGAAGTTTTAGAGTTTTGCACATAAAAAAGGTCATCTTGTTGAACTTCGATAACATACACCGTTTTCGTAAAAAATCGATTTGAAAATTATTTTAATGGCATAAAAATTCACAATTAAATCACAACCATAGAAATGGACTCGCGTGGTCTTTGGAATACGGCTGCCATGTTTAGGAAAAAATAGAATAATTCAAGACAGGTGACAGTTTCATGTAGTAAGTGACAGGATGTTTCTACTTTTTTATTTATATTAGATAAAAACCATCTTTAGGGGCTCCCTTTTCGGGGGCTGTAGCTCCCTTGAGAGGCATTTCTCGACCTATATTAATAGGGACTTTTTTCTTATTTTTGCACGTAGAATCTGCTGTTAAAGTATGGTGCACTAATTTCGGAACACCCTGTATATATATATATATATATATACATTAACCTTATTCTTGACCAAAAACTTGGTTTGAAGAGTATTGCGGCAATATAAAACATACACAGTTGGGTTATGTTCGCAGTTTGCAATGTGTTCTGGTATAAGTAAATTTGCAATAGAATGTACGAAAAACGAAAATTACGACTTAAAGCCTCCGAAAAGAACAAATAAATTTTGTTCTTTTGTAAAAGATTAATTAATTATAGGTATTATAATTATAATAATTACATTATACCCTGTGTATTTTATTTTAAAAATAAAAATATTGTTTCAGAGCATATTTTTAATTATTTGTCAAATAAATATTTTAAATGATAAAAACAATTAATTAAATTTTCATAAAACTTGTTTTAACGAACCTGGTTTAAGGAGATATAATATTATTAAAATCGTAAATATTTTTTGTATTTTACTCGTTTGAGATTTAAAAAAAAAGCATTAATTTTTTTACAGCAAGGCAATGAACGGAAAGAAATTTAAAATCGTAAAAAGCTTTAACTAAAACAAATTTTGGAGACAAT